CCAGCCCCGCTCAGCCCCGCTCGGTTCCAGCCCGGCTCGTTTCCAGCCCCGCTCGGTCCCAGCCCCGCTCAGCCCCGCTCGGTCCCAGCCCCGCTCGGTCCCAGCCCCGCTCGGTTCCAGCCCCGCTCGGTCCCTGCCCCGCTCCCATGGGCGGCTGCCGGGCCCCGCCGCCGCCGCCTCCGCCCGGGTCCTCCCCTCGCCCCCCTCGGGCCCCGGGCCCGGCCCGGACACAGCGCGGGAGCTGAGGGAAATCCCGGGAAGAGGCCACGGGAAGCTCGGGAAATCCCGCGGGTGAGCGGGACCGGGGGGACCGGGACGGGGGAGCCCCGGGGTGCGTGGGGAGGGAGGGGCTGCGGCCCCGGGAATGCCGGGGATGCTCCGGTCCCCAATCCCTGATTCCCGGGAATGCTCCGGTCCCCAGTCCCCGAGTCCCGGGAATGCTCCGGTCCCCAGTCCCCGTGTCCCGGCTCTCCCGGGGGATGTTCCTGTCCCGGTTCCCCAGTCCCTGCCCCGGCCTCTCCCAGGGATGATCCAGCCCCAGTTCCCGGGAATGCTCCAGTCCCGAATTCCTGTGCCCCGGTTCCCCCTGTCCCGGTGCCCCTGGGATGATCCCAGTTCCTATCCTGGTTCCCATCCCGGTTCTCCCTGTCCCAGATCTCCCTGTCCCAGATCTCCCTATCCCAGTTTCTATCCCGGTTCTCCCTGTCCCAGATCTCCCTGTCCCAGATCTCCCTATCCCAGTTTCTATCCCGGTTCTCCCTGTCCTGGTTCCTATCCCGCTTCTCCCTGTCCCCGTTTCCCAGGGGGAATTCCTGCCCCGAATCCCTGTGGGGATTTTTGGCCCGGCATTCCCGGGAATGTTCCTGTCTGGGTGTCCCAGGAGAATCCCGGCCGGGGGTTTCTCCGTACCCCGCTCCCCCGGGATGCTCCTGCCCCTGTTCCCGCCATCCTCGTTCCCGGGGGGATTTGAGAGCCCCCTCTGGAATTCACGGATGGGGTTTTCCCCTTGGAAGTGGGACCAGGAGCTGGGAATGCTTCAGCTGGGGTGGAGGGGACAACAATCCCAGGGAACACAGAATCCATGGATCTGTCCCTGCTCCAAACCCCATCCAGCCTTTCCTGGGGAGCTCCCAGGGATTCTCCGGGAATTCCTTCCCAAGCTCCCAGCCCCAGCTCCCCTTTCCCAGTGGGAAGCCATTCCCTGGCTCCTGGCCCTGCGGCCCTTTCCCAAATCCCAGCTCTCCCGGAGCCCCTGGAGCCTCGGGAAGCGGCTCCCAGCATTCCCGGGATCCCTTTTCCCGATCTGGCTGCACATTCCCGGCTCTCCCAGTCCCGGGAGCCGCTCCGGGGTCTCTCCAGGTGGGGCCTCACCTGCTCCATCCCGAAGCCGGAGCCGGGCAGGATGAGCCGGGATCGGGATCGTGCCAGGCCGGGATCTGGTGGGACATTCCCGCTTTTCCCGCAGGATGGAGAGCAAGGCGCTGCAGCTGCGCACCTTCTCCGAGCGCCGCAGCGGAGCCGCCCCCGAGGAGCCCCTGGAGGGAAGGAGCCTCTCCAGGCTGAACCTCTGCGAGGACGGTGAGGGCGGATCTGCTCCCAATCCAGTCGGGATCCACTCGGGATCAGCTCAGGATCCACCTCCAGATCCACTCCAGATCCACTCGGGATCCACCTCCGGATCCATTCAGGATCCACCTCTGGATCTACTCGGGATCCACTCCTTATCCACCCTGGATCCCCTTCTGGATCCATTCCAGATCTGCCTCTGGATCCACCTTTGTATTCAACTCCAGATTCACCTCTGGATCTGCCTCTGGATCCCCCTCTGGATCCACTCCTTATCCACTCTGGATCTGCCTGTGGATCCACTCCGGATCCACCTCTGGATCCACTCCAGATCTGCCTCTGGATTCACCTCCGGATCCACTCCGGATCCACCTCTGGATTCACCTCTGGATCTGCCTCCAGATCCACTCGGGATCCACATTTGTCTTCAACTCTGGATCCACCTCCGAATCCCCTTCTGGGTCCACTTGGGATCCACTTGGGATCCACCTTTGTATTCAACTCCCGATCCCCTCTGGATCCCGCTCCGGATCCACCTCTGGATCCCGCTCCGGCCCCACGGAGGGAATGGGAGCAGGGAGCGCTCCCGGAGCTGGGATGTTTCGGGAAGGAGCTCCAGCTCCGGAATTCCCGGCCCCGGGAACGGGAGCAGCAGCCAGAATGCTCCCGGGGAGGCCCCAGCACGGCTTTTCCAGGGATTCTGCGGCTCCCCCGGCCCTGGGAGC